GAGGATTCAAGACAACTCTTAGCAACATGCACATTTTGAGAAAAAAAATGTAGTGCTTTTCCCAGACCCGCCTTAATTTTTTCCTTATCTATAGCAAGACTTAGAAATCTTAGCCTGCCAACGTCTGTTTCTAAGCTGTTTTTACTAAGGTGTCCCAATGTACAAGTGCATTTTCTACTCATTGTGCGTTTTGTCCTATTTCAACTTGAATAAACCTTCCCTGATTTAATTTATTTTATCGCCTTAAAAAAACCCAATCAATCCACTAAACAAAACAAACCCCAAAGAATTATTTTACCTACTTGATATTTCTACTGTTGTCCATTTTCCATTTTTATTATGCATGGAATAGTCTATAAATCTATAACAATTTTCTTGAAATATTTGGACACAAGTGTTCTGATGCTTGACACTTGGAATAACAGGAGATCCTATTTAGTATTTCAGCAATACCAGGAAAAGTCCCTTTACCTTTTATTGTGACAGTACCATCTCTCCTGACTCTCTCAGGCATCAGTGACAAGTTGAGACACGGTAAGGCCAAGGACTTTCAACTAGCTTTTGATGTTCTTATGGAATAAATACAGGACCCATGCAAATAATCACATGTGCATCAATAATGGGGAATAAAATCTGAGAGAGGATACATCAATTTTCTACTGATCTCCCCCTTCCCAATGAAGACTCAGGATGTTAAACCTTGACAAACTAAGATGATTATTCTACGTGTATGGGGTTTTAGATATTTTTTGCTTATAATATTGATGATGATGATATCCATTTCATGACAGTCAAATAGGTGTTTGGATCAGGCTAACAGAATGCCACAAATGTAGTTCCCTTATGTATTCACTTAGTCATTAGCAAATTTGAATTAAGCTTATAGTATCACTAAGAAAAATAAAGTCTTCCTGATCAGAAATGAAGTTCAGAATCTGGCTCAATATCAACTTGATATTGACATTATACTGTTATTTGGCTTCTAATATTTGAGTACTTGATAGTGTCATTATATTTTTATTTAGCTTTGACCTGACTGGGTTTTTTGTCAAAAGATTTTAAACTAGGCAATTGGGTCACAATACAGAAAATATTATAATGAAGTTAAGGAGGAAAGTATTTTCTATCAGTTCCAAGATAGCACAGCAAATGTATTCAAAAACAGAATTACAAAGCAAAGAAGGAAAGGACTGAATCCTTTTGCAAGCAGACAATCTACAACAGTATCCTACCCTGAAAAAGGAGGAAGGACTAGATATTTCTTGTCAGAGGCAACGTTATGTTTTTCTATAGAGATTTTTCATCTGATCATTCACAAAATTTACTACAGCACATGAGTACTCAGAACATCCAATTAGTTGAGAAGAGCAAAAAAACCCACCCAAAACTCAGCAACAACAACAAAATTTAATCTGTACTACTTGGGGTGGAGGAAGAGACAGAGAAGTTGGAAAGAGAGGTACCACACATTAAAGTTTTATATGTTTCCTATGTTTCCTTAGTATAACACACAACTGCTTTTCTTAATCTCTAATTTACAACCTTCAATATTGTTCTTTTATTTCACTATGATTAAACTTGTACCTGTGACAAAAATGCTACTAACACTGTTCAATGCACTGCCAATGTGCATAATCCTTTTTGATACAAATTATTTTCATGAATGATCAGACTGACTTTCTCTTGTAGTCTGGTTTAGGTCAAGGGAAATTCAGGTGATGACATTTAATATGAAACCAACTAAGTATGAAAGGTTATAAGTGAAAGACCTTTTTTTCCTGCAGCTTCCTTATAGGCAAACAAATGAATAATGAATTCACTGTAACATCTTCATTTGATCTACTCAGCTGTAAAATATGAGCATTCTGAAATCTGAAGTCACTCAGACATCTTACACATGCTAATGAACCAAATTTCTTTCTGCAAATTCAATTAAAAGCCTCATCTTTATCTATGCAGTCCAGGTTATAAAGTCTGATGCCAGGTTGCAGGACTACATAATGAAAGAAAGCTAGCTAAACAGAAATGACGACATGGAAATGGAAAGCAGAAAGTCAGAGGGAGAAACAATCTTGCCTTGCAGCAGGAATAATGATCAGGCTGCCAAGACACAAAAGCAATCAAAACAGAATCAAAGGAGAAAAAGAAACAAAATTAGCAAAGCTCTTCATCCATAATAATATGTAACAGTGCTTATATTTTATGTTTGAAATTTCACTTGTTTTTCTGCTACAAGAATATGCTATATAAAAATGATAGCAACGAGAGAAAAATAGCAATGTTGGGTTTTTTTTCCTGCACAAGGATTCCCACTGCTGCCCCACCATCAATCCCATTAATTACATTACATGCAGTATGAGAAGAGGTAACTGGTATGCCATTTCACAAAGCTGCTGACTCTGAGATTGGGAGCTGAGTTACATACTGGATAGCTGGTATGTAACGCACTCCAAGGAATGCATCAAATTCAGCCTATGAACATAGAAGGCGTTAAATTATGCACAAAAATTACACAAATATAAGCAGTGAATGCATGAGCAATTCATTGACTAGAATGTCTAGTTTCGCATTCCACTTACAGAATGTATTGCTTCTGAATGCTAATCACTTATGGAAGTGATTATTATTCTGATCAGTGTTTTTTTGGGGTGCAGCCAACAAAGGCTAGAGTTAGCTTAAAACTCTGCTAGGCAATTATTGGAGAGAATGAGAAGAATTTCATTTAGCTACATCAAAACATCCTTCTAGACAGTGACTGTCTGTGGCCTGCAGTATTAAGATAAACTTTCAAGTGCTTAAGTATGCCTTTTGCAATGGGCTGCTTATTAGGAACTGTTTTTTTCTTTGCTCTGGTGTCATTTACCAGTAACTTTAAAGAATTAATTAGTGAGGAAATGGGCAAAATTACATTTCCTCAATTCCAAACAGGCAGTGCCTGGACTAGACAAGGTCTGTAGACCCAAGATAAAACTAAAAATTCTGCTAAAATTACCCTTTGCTATGTACTAATTGCCAACAGGTATGTAAAAGCAGTGGTGTTAATGTAGGTTGAAGTTACATGTGGGAAGCGACTCTATAATTAGAATTGTATACATTGCTTGAACTGCAAAAAGCCTACTCTACTTATAGAAATGACAGAAAGGGTAAAAGAATAAATATATATGTTTTGGTAAGCCTCCAGAAGGGAATGACTGCTGCCAAGAGGTTCATGTTATGTAATCATTGCAATTATAGGTATCCAAGCATATGAAAAAGACATCAATGCCAACACAGTATAGCATTAGGCTATGTGGTGCACTCTGCCCTGTTCCAAGCTGACACATGCTGAAATATTTTCCTTTTGAAATGGAGCTCATCCATGAACTACTGAAATACCAACTATTATCCAGTTACCTCTGTTATATACCTATATTGATTTAAAACCAGTCTGGATGATAAATCTTCTGTCCTCCTCCATAATGTCTTTCTGTATTACTGAACTCTTCTTGATCTCCCATATTTTTATGGCATTTTTAAACTCATTGCACAGAGCCTTGATACCTTAGCTTTTTCTACCTTCCACCTGCAGTCCTGCAGCCTGCTTCCCACTTGCAGCTTCCTGCCTCTTCACACAAGCTCCTAGGACAGAGTACCTCAGATTGCTTCCAGCAGTGTTTTTTCTGTGACGCTCCTGTTTATTTTATTCACCTCTTGAATTTGAAAACCCTCTACTGTTGTTGGCAGGGTCCCAAGGGAAGTGATGACTACTGATATTAGAATCACCACTTTTTTCTCCCAGTTTCTAATTTTTGCATTTGGTTGAAGTTTCTGGCTTATGATATAGGCCGCATAAACGTGTTTACAGAAAACAGCAGTGAACCAGCTATGCAGCACTCTCCCCAACCAGTGTGTGCTCCTAGCAATGGTAACAGCATCATGAGCCCAAACAACCCATGAGGACTTCAAGTACCTTTTGACACAAAATACTCTTGCTGTAGAAAAATTTTGATAGAGGAACCACTATTGAGGGCTAAATACTTGTTTGTCTTCCTGATTGACTGCTGACAATGATTTTTCTTATTTTTCTTTCTCCCCATCTTTGTGTTCTTCATATCTTCTGGTTTTTTGTTTTTGTTTTTTTTTCCCGTTTACTCCCTCCTTTCCATTAACATCCACTTTTAAAATTGATGAGTGTCACCAAATACGGACCCACTAGTAAATCTTCATGCAACACACAATGATCTGTTACTACACTTTCTATCACTTTCATTTTCTTATAAAAAACCCTAATTACTATTTTTTATTTCCCTTTACATATAGCACATATTTTATTATAACTTTTCTAATAATAGAATATATTATTTGGACAGTGTCATGCTATTATCAGAAAAATATCCATGTTTCAGTGCTTTACTTTCCTAATTTTAGTTTGGTATGCAAAATTGAATTTGAAATACCACAGATAATTTTTTATTCTGTTATTGCACGTGCTGTTGCAATTTTCCTAGCTACCAGCATGTGCCCAAAAAAAAAAAATGTTTCTCAAGCAAATCCAAATCCTCAAATCCTCACTGATGTTAAATAATGCTGAAGTTATACCATTTAAAACTGATAACTGAATGCTGCTGACATACATTAAGTTCCTCACAACAGGATGACGCAATCATATTCTTATTACTACTGGGGATGTAATTCTTTTGGTCACCTCAATAAGATTTCCAACATTGTTAAAAAAGAAAACAACGCCCCAAAATCATTGTGATCAACAAATTAATTTTTTTCCAGAACATCAAAAAATATTAAATAAATGTCATGACTTAGTAGTTTCATAGTGAAAGCAAGATTGCCTATATATAAGTAATTTTCATGCAGACACTTTTGACTCATGGTAACCTAAAAAAAATAAGCCCTCAGTTTTTCACAGATAAAGATGACAGGCAAACATACATGAAGGAAACAGAACACTTACATTACTGATAACTTGGGTACAATATTATTAACCTTGCATAAGTTTTTCTTACCCTGGACCTCTCCTCTAGTTTTGTCATCATGACGACTGTTGCACCTTGTTGTTCCCACATCATTCTCCAGAAGTCACCAAAGGTTTCTGGCAGTGCCCCCTGCGTTGCTATATATGCATTCTGCTTCCTGTATCCATCTATGTAATTGGCATTGATATAGTCGCTGCCTGGTATGCCTGCAAAGAGAGGAGAGTGAAAATACAGGGCAGAATTTCTCTGTGTCCTGTTGTACTGGGGCTGAATAATCCCATGTCACAGCTCATTTGATGAATCTGGGCTTGCTGCATGCCAAATAGTAGATGGGTACTTACAAATGAGTATATGCCATTTGTGGAGTCAAGAGGCATGGTGGTCTCTTTGGGAATAACTATTCTTTTAAAACAAGAGATGTTGCATGATAAGAAGTATAAAAGAAGACTGAAAATCTGTATCAGGTAGAGAGTCCTGGGGGTTAACACAGCAGCATTTAAAAGCTGGTCTGATGCTGGCTGCAGGCACCCAAAATATGGCAGTGCTACCTGAGACAGACAGGGAGGATTCTCAATCAGACACCCTGAGTAGGCTCCTCAAACATTCTTGTTGAAGTCATTGCATTTCCTTTAAATACAGAAGAAAAAAAAATATCAAGACTATTAATATCACTGCTATATTCATTTTCTCCATTAAATGTAAAGATAATTGAGTTTTATTGTAACAAAACATATGATGTAAGTCAGATACAAGAAACAGTGAAATTTTCTATATGGTGTATGCATGAAATAATAACCTTTGCATGACTGAATAAGAATTAAAAATGTTAAAAGAAGTGGGATCCAAGACTTGTGTGCACATGGGACCTACACCATTATTTGCTTGAGGCTCAGGTGTTTTGGACAAGACTTATACAGGAACTTTGGCTGTGTCTACTAGACAGACACATGTCCATTCTTAGAGCCCCATAGGAATCAGGCCAGCTCCTAACTGCAATCTATATAACTCAGGGTATGCCATAGGATGTGGGGACTTAGAACATGCTGCCTGCCCAGGCCGAGGAGATGCACTGGCTGTAGTGAAAGTCACATTACTAGTCTGCACTAATAAGGCAGACATGCTTATGGAAATGGAAAAAAAAGGACCAATTCTCAGAATACTGCTGGATTCAGCAATGCAGTGCTCAGTTTTTAACTCAGACAACATGCATGTTGGAAGACAAAGCACTGAGGGAACCATTCTTTTTGTCACTGCTGCTGTTTTAATTGATGACCAGAGAAAGAACTAAGACACTTATGTGAGATCTCAGTGCTGGCTGAATGGCAAAGCAGTGTTAATTAGCTGAATATAGTTATCTGCACCTTAGTAAGTTTTGTTGAAGTAATTGACAGAAGTTATTTCTTTGAGCAGAAATGTATGATCTATATTTATGCAGCCAATCTGTCATGCACAAGTCTACAACCCCAAGAAATGGTGGAGGTTCCACAAACTCTTTCATAAAAGAGTCAAGGTGATGATACCAGCTCCAGATTTATTCTACAGCTATGACTGTTTTCCCTCCACAAAGCAAGAAAATTGAGTTTCTTTGGCTATAAAATAGAATAAATTGTAAATAAATATTTCCCAAGATTTCTGTCAGAAACAAAATATTCAAATAATTTCTGATGCATTATCTCCTGCTGGTGATCCCAAATTGGGAATTACTGGAGCTGCACACTCCTGTCTTTCCTGACTATAAGTGGCACAAATCTGAAAATGTCTTCCAAAATGTTTTGAATTTGAATGGAATTTAGGTCTACCTCTTTAAAATAGACTGCTCCTGTTTACCTACAATTTTAATAGTTTCAACACTCATTCAGGGTAAGCCCGAATGTTTCATTCCTCTGCTTACTTAGCAGTGAATGAACCCACAGACTAAATGTCATGCTAAATAAGATCCAATATAATCTGGAAATTATTCAGATTATGGGTTATTGCAGCTGTAGTCTAGCAAAAAATTATGCCTTCATGCTCGATAAAGTTCAATATATGTTCTTGTTTCATATGTTCAAATCATGCTTAAACTAAAATTTTAATTAGTTTTAACTTTCTGTACAGAATTAGAAGAAAAACCTCACAAAATATTTCAGAGATAGAAAGACCTTGTAACTTCAGGATTACAAGAGAGGCAGAAAATGGCACACCTCAGGCAAGATGCAAGAATGGAGACAGGCAGACTGTCTGACTGATTTGACCTGACTGAAAGTCTCTTCCAGGGGAAAAATAAAACAAAATAAAAAACTTGTTAACCTGCATAGTCTATAGATGAAAAACATGATTTCCCTCCATTAAAGGTAGAAAGTGGAGTTCAAAAGCATCACTTTTGTAGACCTGATGCTGTATTATATGACACTTCTCATTGTGGATATTGGAATTAATGACATAGAAAATAAAACTGCTAGGAACAAGGACGTATTTTCTTCCTTTATCAAGATAATAAAACTTTTTTTTTTCACAAAGCAGATGAGAAGGAAGAATGAAGCCAGGAAAAATCTACACCAACTGGATATTATTAACAAAGGAACTGAGAAAGCTGGTAAGAAATGTTTTCTGCATAAATTAGAATTATATTATGATGCCTGGTATCATACTTTGAAGCACGTTATAAATAGAAGCCTGAGGAGAAAATGAAAAACAACACTTTGTAAAGTGGTTAAATGATCTTCTGGGAAAGCTGTCCTCTGGAACTGATAATGCACAAACTCAGTGTGAAAATTAAGCATGAGAACTATTGCAAGCTGTTCCCTAAAGAATAATCTTTACAAATCTTAGCAATCAATACCAGCACCTGATGTAAAAACTCCAGAATGTCTAAAATTGTAAATTCTCCTTCTAGTTGTTAATTTGTATTAAATTTATTGATAAATTATATTTAAATCTATAATTCCTAAATTAAATAAATTCAAATTCTTTAAATTAGAAGGAATAAAAGCTTCCAGATTATACCTTCCTTGATCTAAGATTCAAGAAAGAAAGAATTAAGATTAACAATTACTGATAATTGCATAGTTTTCTTTAAATATAGATTCAAGTGGAAATTTCCACTCTGTTTTTCCACTTTATTTCTGTAAAGTGTACTCAAAAACTTCTGTATGTCCTTTAGCTAGAAAAATTATTTTACAAGGCAAGTCAGCTTCACTTCACCAAACAAGGATATATGTGGGACACGGACATGATAATCCATTTATCACAGGCCCTAAGCAACTATTCATGAATTAACCAATGACTTTTTGGAGAAAAAAAAAAAAAAAAAAAAGACAAAAATATGTTGGTCCAACACTTGCACCAAGATTCACATCAAGAATTTATCTCTAGCAGAATACAGTACTCAATAATACTTGATCTGCTGAGATCAAGAGAACATCTTGATTCAGAATGCTCAGCTCCATTGTCTCTCTCTCAAACAGGGATGTTCTCTGTTCTCCATCCATTCTTATAGTCCCTTTAAGTACTGTACCCTTTTCTCACAGAGTCTCTTTTCATCACTGTTTTCATGCATGACCTCAGTTTCACATCCTGCTCCAAAATCCTTAAAGCCCTCTAGGGACAGTGCCTTATCATAAGAGGACTAATGAATTTATTAAAAATAACAAATACAAAACCTGGATATCTGTAAATATCTACAATGACAAAGAATTAAAATTCTTCAAAGACAAGTAAATCTGAATATTAAAATTTTCCTTTCTGAAATTACTTTCTGGCCAGATCCTCATTCTGAGCTGAGAAAACAGAACAATTTTGTGTCAAGTTTAATAGTGCAAAAGCAATCAAATGACAACCAGTCTGACTGCAGTACAATGAAATCCTGCAAACTTTTGTTAGCTGCCATAGCTTGAAGGCAACATACCCACAAGCACAGCAGCAATTGCCATCATTACTTAAATTTGGGTTTCACAGTTAAGAGAGGTCAGTTGTTCTGTAAAAGCATAGGTCAAGAAAGGGACAAAGCAACCAAATTCTGTAATACTGATATGAACTTCATCTAAGTCTTTTGGCTTCAGTGAGATTTACTGTGCCTTTAGGATGGCATACCTGAAGTATAAATTTAGGTTATTCTATGGAGTATAACCTGACTTTTATAAGTTTCATGAAAGCAGAGGCACAGATTCTGCACAAGAAGTCAGTTAAAGACCAACCTCCTGAACCATGATTCTACCATAACTATTTTCTAGTAGCATTTTCAACTGTGGTGATGAATGACCAGAATCTGCAGTCTCTTTATTTAGCCAGACAGGAGTTAAGCACAATGGGCAAGAATCAGATAAGTAGCTCAGCATGAAAGACAATCCACTTTTAAATATCTCAAGAGAACAAAGTTTAGTTTTTAGATAGTAAGTGTGAATGAGCAATGAAATAAAATTAGCCAATGCCACAATTGGCTAAGAACAGAAGAAAAAAATCCCCATGAACTGTATTGCTCTCAATTTATGCTGAGAACTCATGAGCTGAGTTGACAGTACAGCTGACTGCAACATAGACTCAGATCCACAAGGCTAATAATGTAGACCTTAGGAATGATTCACTTGATTTTCTGAGAGAGTTATAATCTTAAGTAACTTTAATTAGACTTCTCATTTCATTCACAAACTTAAATCAAACAGCAGAATTATTTCAAGCCTTTACAAAGGCTGAGTACTGAACAGCCTTTCTATTTAAAATAAATTAAACTATAAAGCTTTGTTTCTGCACTGCTTCCCTAAGACATGTGCTTTTAGTCATGTGCATAAATAGTGTGAAGTAATAGGATTAAATTCTGTCATGCTTGTAAACAAGTTGGAAAAATACCATGATGAACTCAGAGTGTTGATGAAGTTGTACTACTGATTTAAATCAATGTCTAGTGTTTTGAATAATGCCAGACCAAAAACCACAGGCTGGTTGTGCATGTGCAAACAAAACAGTGCAAAAAATCTTATTCATATAAGAGGCATGCACCAAGTTAACTATAAAAGGATGCAGGTCAGGACCTTTGCTATCCTCTCTTTTTCATCTCTTTCTCTTTTGCTTTCTTTGTCACACCACCCAGATCTGCACCATCCACATGGAAGGAACAACGTGGAATCTGGGGCAATATTCTTTGTTCTGTCTCTCTCTTGCTTTGTCTGATCAAACCACAGCTGTCATTCTGTCTCATACTACATACTGAACTTTATTGCAGGAGTGGAGA